ATGTTATCAAGGCTTTGCATCACTGCAAGCAACATGGCAGACGTTCCTTTGCTGCATTAATATCCTTTACATGTTACAAACAGCTATCTTAACATCATGGAAATATTGTATGTTACTTCCTTGTAGACAAGACAGCTAATGATTCTTTTGTCAGGGAAAATGTATGACTAAGGTAAACTATTCAGTTTCTGTATGTGCTTTTGCATAGTAGGCTGTTGAACAGGTACTACCCTTGGAATATTTATTAATTTGCACTGTTTGGGTAAAAACAACAACAAAACAAAGAAAAAATCAGTAGACAAGTATTTTCATGTTTGAGGGCATGTGAACCTTGCTTTGTTTAATGTTATGGAGGTTTTCATTAAGCATTTAAAAAAATATATCTGAGTTTTGATTATTTGTTCTCTGTGCAATTCTGAGCAAATTGCAATACTTAGATGATTATCTCACTAGCTGTGGTGCTGCAAATTGCTAACATCACAAGTTACTCATTGGCTCTAGTGTCTCTGGTGCAGAAGGTAAAACGTCTAATGGACTTAGGACAAATCATACTATGGAGCATTCCATTGGTTTAATCACATTTGAAATATTTATTGAATGTGATGTAAAGCAATCAGATTCATTTGTTTGAAGGAACAGTTGTTCCCAAGGCAATTTTGTCTATATCCTGGAGAGGGATAGAAAATGGCAAAAGAAGAACATTTTCTTCCTTTTTGTTTTACAGCTAACAGAAGAAATTGCAAGTGGTTTTTATTGCCCATGCCAAATTTTATGACAAGAACATAAATTTTAAATTTTCCTTTTATAGTGCACTTAACAGAAAAATACTGCTGCTTTGAAAACTGCAGCTGTGTATTATGATAGTAGACTGCTTAAGCACTTGCCATGGTTCATTCAGGAAGAGTATGTGTGTTCACTATAAATCTTCTTTTACTATACATCTAGGATACGTAGGCACATGCATGCATACATGGATAACTCATTTTATTGCCTTTCATACCTAGTTTTTCATATTTCATGTGAAATTTCTTTTCATACCCATCTAGTGGCAACTTAGTATTTTATTTTCTAACTGAAAAAGTTGGCAAGTATTTTCTAGAAAAACATTTAATCCACAAGTGCTTAATTTTTAGTTTAGTCTGCAGTCTTGTGTGCATTTGTGAACATTCCCATATATGAGTTTGGAAGAGCCGAGCCAGACTAGTCTTATTGTAGTAATCATATCGTGGTAGTCTTAAGTCAACAGATTGTTAGGTAAAAAAAATGCTGTTTGAACCTACTTGGGTGTATTTTGGTCACCATTCACCACAACGTAACAAACTGGTTTGTCAGTGAGGTGGCACATCAAGGACTTCTGGAACATGGCACATATCCAGCTCTTTTGCATACCACTGTTTGTTACTAAGATTCTTAAAATCTGCTGAGAATCATAGAATCATAGTGTGGCCAGGGTTGGATGGGACCTCAAGGATCATGAAGCTCCAAGCCCCCTGCTGCATGCAGGGACACCAACCTCCACATTTAATGCTAGACCAGGCTGCCCAGCGCACCATCCAACCTGGCCTTGAACACCTCCAGTGATGGGACATCCACAGCCTCTTTGGGCAGGCTGTTCCAGCACCTTACCATTCTCGTAGTAAAGAACTCCCCCCTGATATCCAACCTAAATCTTCCCTCCTTCTACATACAACTGTTTTCCCCTTCCATGTCACTGAGGCTGCTGCAATTTAAGGTGCACCAAAGCAGCCTTAACTCCTGCTGTGAAATCAACATGAGGAGCTGGGATGGAAATTGAAACTTCTTAGGAAGCTTCACTCACTCCTGGATAGATTCTCTTCTCACTTTCCATGAAAGAAAAGAAAGAAAAAGACTTTTCTTTTTTTTTCTTTTTTTTTTTTTTTTTCCCATTCTGGATCTTGAGGCTTTCTTCGTGGCTTTCCACGTAGACCATGTTGACTATGGAATTTGACCGTGTGTGTATTATAAACCATACACATTACATTTCTGCCTATTTCTGGTTCATTACTGCTGCTGTGGATTCTCTTATCACACAAAAGTAAATTACAAAGTATGAAACTTTAAGACCAAGGAGTTGAAAAGATTCCATAGCTGGATGAGCTGCACAATGTACTTTAGACATCAGCTTAAAAGCAAAGGCAGAATTGCAGTCAGTTAAAAAGCAATCATTGGATTACCCAAAAGATACAGCCCCTTTTCCGTGCCTCTTAAAGTCTTCATTGCTCTCTCCCAGTTGCGGTGTTTTTTGACTTACTGACAGCTGCAAAAGGAAACAGGGAAATGTCTTTGTTTGGTTCTGTCAGCGTGCTCCACTTTGATTACAGGCTTTTATGGGCTTCTATTCCAAGAATTTTACAGTCTAGGATCAGATTTTGACACTCTTGCTAGTCAGGAGTAAGTGGCTATTCCATCAGGTCAGATAGATCAGAATGGGTTATCAGTTAGGATGGTGGTGTTTAGACAGAGCCATGACGGTGATTCAAACACTTTTCCATGAGTCAGTGATGCAAATATTTTTCTGTTGGTTTAGTCTTTTCAACTGTCTTTTAGATGAGTAACGTAGAAAAGCCTTTGGTTATCCTTTTATTTAAGACAATGTGCTTTGAGAAGGAAACAAAATGAATGAAACCTTTTGGCACATGAGAGAGCAGGAGGGATTTTGTGCAGAATGAAGAGCACGGAAGAAAGCCCCATATCCGGAACATGGTCCTAAGAAGCAAACCAGAGAGGTCGGCAGATTTTCACTAGGCTGCCAAGAGATGAGCAATGATTAGGTGATTTGCCTCCTTAAAACCTTGTCTGCTGCCAGCCCCAAATCCCCTTCTCCCATTTCCAGTGCAGCTTTCAGCCCGCAGGATAAGCGGATGATGAGGTATACAGTTGTGGTGTGGAAGGGATTCAAACAAAGTGAATGAGATTCTTATCTTCTGGGACTTGTGTGATACAGAGAGTGAAGAGGAGGGAAGACAAACTGTTCTTCATTTGCAGAAAATGCTTTCATCTTTTGCTTTGCTGTGTGGCTATGGCTGAAGGGAGAGCAGAGAAGCTGTCTTCCTGCTTATATCAAATTGCCAGGCCTTTAATTTTGACCAGATGAGCCCTGCAATTATGGCATCTGATGGACAGTTATAAAGGAATTAGTCTTTGGCAAACTGAACTTCATTTCAAGTAATATCAGCATCACAGAAGAGTCAGGAAACCAAATTCTGTGGCAGAGTCAGTGCCTTTCCCTAAGCACTCAAATTTCTTGGCAGAATAAAAGGAAGCCCAAGTGCAAAGAGACAGAGTACTCTAATTTCTAAGCACATTCTGGAAAGGACGTCTTGCTGCTCTTCCCACAAGCAGGCAGTGCAGGATGCTGACAGGTACCCTGAACCTTGCCTCCATGCCTGTCAAACTCTCCCATTTTATTGTGGTTCCTATTGGGGTTATAGGTAGTATTCCTGCTGCCGTGCCCCGTGCTCTAATTGCCATGAAGTGCAGGAGGTTCAAGCACGCTTGGTTCCCAAGGCTGCTAATGAGCCCCAGCTCTTCTCGCCCTTAATGAACCAAGACTTGTCTGGGGGGATTCTTGTCCGCCCCTCTTTCTTCCTGGTCAGGGAAGGAGGCGAGAGTTCACGCAGCAGAACAATGACTTTACAGTGTCGGGGCCATGCAGCTGTGCCATCTGAAGCTGTGCTTGGTTATGAGCAACAAAGCTTAAATAGATTGTACTGTGAGGAGGTACGGCTCTTGCTTCTGCCTCACTGAGCTGTCCACTCGCGGCAGCGATGGGGCCCTGATGGGAGCTTCTGCAGGGAGAGCTGCGCGGGGCGACGCTTTCGCGTTCTCTCTGTGATGCTGAAAGCAGAATTGGGAGCAAAATGAAGTTTTAGTGGATCTCTGAGAGGGCTGCACTGCCGCCTCCTCAAGAAAATCCCATCAAAAGTCACAGATTCCTAATCCACCTCAGATGGTTAATAAGGCCACTAGAGCAAGCATAATTCAGGAGTTTCAGCGTTGGAGAGTGTTTGCACAGCAAAGCATGCACACAGAAAAACCTTTAACCAAATCTCACTTTTCAGTATTTTTCTCACGGCAGGCTCTTTTCATAGGTTAGAATCATCAGGAATTTGGGCTCAATTAGTAGAAATTTCATATGCTTCATCTTTCTTGAGGTATTTCAGTTAGGACACTGCAATCCTCTGGCTAATTTATCTCACTGCAAACACACGTGTCATATTTACACACGTACATGTACCTGTACATACGGTACAAATTACCTTGAAATACAGAGGAGCAGTATATTAATATAGTACAATAAATATATCCGTGAAAAACATAAAAATATCACTTGCTTTCCTTGATACACTGTTCCCTGTGTATATCCATGTAAATATTTACACCTGTGAACACGGATATGTACCCTAGGTGCTGAGCTATAACAATAACTTAGCATTTCAACCTGAGAAAAGAACTGTGTGAATTAAAATAGCAATGAGAGAGATGTAAGGTTACCGGCTGTTATATACTGGGCTAACTCTTGCACAATGCTATACAAAGGTGAAATTGTTCAAAGTTTTACTACTAGATTAGCAAAGCCAAAAACAGCATCTGCAAAAGAAATCTGATTTTGCTGTAGTAGGCTGTTTGAAAATCATCACATTGTTGTTTCAATCATTTTGGGTTTTTAGCAGTGCAGAGAAACATCTGCTGCTTTCCTCAATTGCATGAGCGAGAAAGAGAAAGCGAAAGAATAAGGAGCTTTTGCTTTGCATTCCTAAGTGAACAGAGAGAATAGGGGAAAAAAAAAAAAAAAGAAAAAAAAAGCCATCTAGTTTTAAATACCTTGATATGTGCATGTGCAGGTTCAAAACTTTTGCTTGCTCTCCCACCCGAAGTGGTGGACCGATAGAACCAGGAGCCGCGGCGAAGCTGGCAACCCCCCATGGCTGACCCCTCATGTTGTTTGTCGCCTAATCGAATTTTGCGTGTGTTTCCAGATAGCTGATCAGCTTCCCTGGATTTCGCTGACGCCACAGGAAAGCTTTGCCTGAAGATGGAAACACTGGAGTCGGAACTGACCTGCCCTATCTGTCTGGAGCTGTTTGAGGACCCGCTGCTGCTGCCCTGCGCTCACAGTCTCTGCTTCAACTGCGCGCACCGCATCCTGGTCTCCCACTGCGCCTCCAACGAGCCGGTGGAGTCTATCACCGCCTTCCAGTGCCCCACCTGCCGCTATGTCATCACCCTCAGCCAGCGTGGTCTAGAGGGGCTGAAGCGCAACGTCACCCTGCAGAACATCATCGACCGCTTTCAGAAAGCCTCGGTGAGTGGGCCCAACTCCCCCAGCGAGACCCGTCGGGAGCGGGCATTCGACAGCAACAGCATGTCCTCCTGCGAGAAGGTCCTCTGCCAGTTCTGTGACCAGGACCCTGCCCAGGAGGCAGTGAAGACATGCGTGACTTGCGAGGTCTCCTACTGCGAGGAATGCCTGAAAGCCACGCACCCCAACAAGAAGCCTTTCACCGGCCACCGGCTGATTGAGCCCATCCCAGACTCTCACATCAGGGGATTAATGTGCTTGGAGCACGAGGATGAGAAGGTGAACATGTACTGCGTGACGGACGACCAACTGATCTGTGCCCTGTGCAAGCTGGTCGGGCGGCACCGAGACCATCAGGTGGCAGCTCTAAGCGAGCGCTACGACAAGCTGAAGGTGAGTGCTGCCCTCGCACCCCATTTGGAGTGGTGGGGAGGGAAGGTGTCCTGCTGTTCAGTGTTGTGTTTCCTTGTTTGGGCACAGGCTGGTGAAGGCAGGTGTGAGATCTGTCATCAGGTGAGATGCATGTACAGACCGCTGTGTGCTTATCAGAAAGGGATCAAGTTTTCCCTTGAAGAAAGATTCCTTGGTTGTGCTTTGATTTTTCTGCTGCATGCAGTGTACACTATTGCTAGCACAGTAAGCTATCTGTATTAGATAAGTATTAGCTTATCTGCATCCATCCACATCTTCCCTCATGGCAGTTGGCCGGGTTTTGTGTTGGCTGCACATACACAGGCCCTGATGGAAATGTTGGTGTTCTTTGCATACGCTCTGCTGTTGATTATTTTTTATCAAGCTGTTTTTATCATAGAAAACCCTTTGCATCACTGCTAATAAGAAATGCAATTATACCTTCTGATTTCAGGGGCTGAGCTGCCTTGTCAGCCAGGGAGACCAAATGCCAGCCCCAGTCCTCTCATGCTGCCCCGAAGGAAACTAAACCAAAAATCTTTCAGCTCCTTGTGGCATTCCATGGTTCCCCCCTCTCACCTAGCACCCAGCTGGCACCTGGCCCATGTGGGGTGTCCTCACTGAGTGAAACAAAAGGCCATGATGCAGACCTGCTCAGGTTGCTCTGCAGGCTCCCACTGAGGCCATCAAGCAGCCTTGGACCAAACACATTGATTTAGATGCTGCAAGCAGAGGAGAGGAATTAATGAGATTTCCTCAGGCTAGTCTGTATGTACTTGTCTGCGAATGTTTTGGGGGGGATTCCTTGGTTAAGTTGAGAAGACACAAGTGTGGAGCGCGAAGATAATCCGCCACAGTTTTGGAGATATGAGAAGAAACTGAATTAATAGATTTAACTAACTGGAAATATATTCTTAAATAACTTGAAGATGAAAATGTGAGACTACACACGTACACGATAACTTTGTGTGAGTGCAGGTAAATTCTGCATGCCACATGTTTTTCATGCCTCTGTGCATGTGCAGATATGCATATCGTGCTCTATTCTTTACTTGGACCTGATAACTTCTTTCCATTTCTTGATTAATTTTTTTAAAGTTAAAGTTGTTATTTCAGCTTTCCTTTTTTTTTTTTTTTTCCCTGAAGAAGTGCTTGTTTGTTTTTTTTAAATAATGAAGACTTTAGCCACTGCTAAAATGGGACGTGAGCTCTAAATGTGAATGCTTGCCAGGTGCTACGGTTCAGCAAGCTAACAGAGACTAAACACCTGTATCATTTATCAACTTGATAAGAGTAGGAATGTGTAATTTGATGTGAAATACCTTTGAAGTTCGGTATTAGCTAAGTGCATTTTTGAGAATGCCAGTAAATGTTAAACAAAATTTCTTATGCTGGTATACTTAGATATGGCTAGTCTTGGAAGAAGACTTCAAGAAGCAAATGTCTTTACTTGAGATCTTAATATGGCACATGGTTAAGAAAAAGATCTGTGTGTTTTTACATAATCTCTGTCTTTTCTGTGCAAAGATGCCTAAGCAGATTCTGGATGGGTATCTCAAATAAACAAGCAGTGTTCACCTTAGATGTTTCCCAGATTAACAAACCTGCCAGAAACATAGTAGAGTACTTTCCACCAGACTCATCAATGAATTCAAGTACTTTCCAGCAGACTCATCAATGAATTCAAGTACTAATTTAATGATTAGAGTGGGCCTGGATCAAATAACTCTTTCTTACAGAAGCAATTTCTGTCATTATCCGTACAGGTTTTTTTATTTGTTTGTTTAGACTTACACTTTCCTTGTACTCAAACTATTTGGAAGTAGTTTATACAGGAAATTATTAGCCGACATGAAATCCAATTACTATCCTTTTTGTCATGAGTGAAATAGACTTATTTTACTTTGTTAATCCCTGTGGCGATACCAATCATACCAATTTTGCCACCAGTTACAACAGTCTGAGCCCAGGGATAGTAGGCTAGGTGAGTTCCATCCAGACCCAGAGTCCATTCTCTGTTCATAAGAAGGTAATCAGAAATTGATGTCCTTCCTTTCCTCATTGCCTCTTCCATCTCAGTAGTGTGAGCTGTTTTACATATTAAACTCTGAGAATAAGATTTTCTCTTTAGTAGATTGGATTTCTTCCTTAGGAATAAAGGAATTAGGTTTATTTACATCACTGCTTAGCAGCGAACAGGCAAGATTGTCTGTTTCCTTTTCATGTTGAGGCAACCTTCTTCGTAAATGGTAATACCATTTCTTCAGTAACTGCTGGTTTTGCTGTTGTAAGTCTTTGGTTCAAGCTTGCATTTAGTGTTTGTTAAGTTACAGTTAATGTGCAGATGTCAGCGTTAAATGCAGTGTTCAAGTTAATCAGAAAATACCCATCTGAAAAACAGGTTGTTGCTTGCTATATTGTTGCCAAGGGTTTTTAAATACATAGGGTTTGTTTGATAGATGGGTTACGCAGATCTTCAAAAAAAATTCTGAAAGAATGAGTATGTGCTAGTCAGTAGGGCAGTGGATTCATTCAAAAATTGGTGGCTAATAGTAAGTATCTTCGAAGAAGAAAAACAAAACCGCTTCATGTGATGTTTTCTTTTCTTGCAATTTTCTTTTTAAATCAACACATTGTTGATGCCAACAACAGCAACTAGTGTGTAGCTTTAGGTGTCAAGCTATGCTAATTACTCGCATTCTTTTCCAGCAGCGTTACTAATTATTTAAACTATATCTCATCCTTCATTAAGCATAGGACAATAGATGCCATTGCAATCTAGCTCCCTTTGTGGCAAAAATGAAGCCCTTTAATTAGGAGTTCTGTACACTTGTCCAGCAGAGACGTCTATGCTAAAGCATGTTTAACAGTCGGTGTAATTGCAATTGTGGACATCTGAAAATGAGAAAGTGTTTTCCTTTGGCAGCTATTGCTCTAGCCCTGAGAGATGCTTTTGTTAATGAACTTCTACTGTGCATGGAGGGGTCTGAGGGCACTTATTTCAGAAGCAATTCATTCTGGGTTGCTAAGAACACATGGTGTAATTACATGCTTATAGATGTTTTAGTGCGTACAGACTTTTTTTTTTTTTTCTTTAGACCATAGACACAGATGTGTTTTAAAAAAGAAACATCATATACCATGACAAAAACAGAGAATAAGAAATGTTCTTATGGTTATCACTGAATTAATGAAGTGATGGTCAGAATTGTGGTATAAGTTAGAAATAGCTTCTAGCTGCATAAACAATGAAAGTTGTAAAAACAGAAGCCGCAGATGCTCATGCTCACTGCAGTATAATACCACAAAGAAAAGATTTTTGTCTAATTACCTTTGATGTTGATTTTTTGTTTTTTGTCTTGTTGAAATGTGAAGGAAAAGACAAATATGCGCTCATGTTCCCAGAGAAAATTAATGAAAATTGCCATTGTTCTTTAGACATATTTATACTTAAGAAAATAATAAGAAAAATGAAAAGAGGAAGAAGCTACAAGGTGGGTGTGAATGAAAAATAATGTCTGATTAATTTTAGCAAAAAGCCATGACGAAATGTCACAAAAGGGGAAGACAGACGGTAAACCATATTTTGAAATGGTATAAAGCAAGTGCCATTGAAACCAATAATTTTTTCTTCTTCATATTTGCCAGGAATCTGGCCACTGATATGCATAATCTTGCAAAAAAAAAAAAAAAAAATTTGGAATGCTTTGTGTGATGCATAATCAAGTGAGATCCTTTGTTAAATCAAACTGCTATGGGTTAGCAGTTGTTCCCCATGTTTTTGTTTGACCCTTATTAGCACTGACACGTATTGGGCATATTTATGAAGGCAAGGCAGTCCTGTGAATGGCACTCAGGAATTCCAAGAACAAAAGGGAGCTTCTTGTTTGTACGGCTTTTATTTTGTTTTACTGGCAGAATCCATACACATCTATTTTTACTCTGCTGTTTCTGCAGGATGCGAGGATTCAGTTTTCAATGGAGTGTCAATTCAATTACTCACAAATATTTTTGGTGGGAAGCAACCATAAGTCGTTTCCACATAGGGAGAATTGCATTCAACTCTTACGTATTTACTTCAGCTGTGTAAAGGTAGGAGACTTTGTCAGGTCCACAGCTTCTACAAACTGGGCACAAAAATATATCTCCTCCAATATGTTTACTCTGAGTTAAAATCATCTTGTATTTCAATGTCTCTGCAGAGACACTGTCAAAGTATGCATTGAAGCTTTCCAACTATTAATTGGTATAGTGCATACTGTAAGAATCTAATGCTTGGAAACCTGTGCTCAAACAAACAGATGGGTTGACAATCCAGGAATACTGATTTTTGTATTTGTACATAAATACATTAAGCAAATGCATGTAAGTATATGTCCGTATGCATTTTATTATGTTTATTTGTATATTTATAGTGCTCATGGTAGTATGATAACAATATTGCATACGTTAATAGGTATGTCAGTGTAGCTATGTTTGAACAGCACAGAAATATATAATTCCTAGTAGTTCATTAATATATAGAATTTATATGAATATATATATGCCTATATTTTCACTATATAAAGTTTCAGATACATATATGTTGGTCACTACAAATATATTTGATGATATGTACATTAGCTACATTTCAATTATTTAATCTACTGTATCCAAAACATGGCACCCCTGGACTTGCATTATTACTAGAGTAGTATTAGATTACTGTTTGATTAGATACTACTTAACATATATTTCAGTGTATATGAATTAAGGAGTGGTCACTTATATTGGTACAGAATATTATGTAATTTTACACAAAGCACAGAGAGTTAACTATACTTTTTCAGTATTATAAAGACTCAAAAGCATTAACTTATTTCATGGAAGAGAATAGATGTAGGAATGAACTATTTCAATACACAGGTATTCAAGTAGGACTTATTTTATTAATGTGTAAATATTAAGGCAGACTTTAGATCATACTCTTTTAGTCTAGTGTT